AGTTTCTTCTTCTGGAAAATGAAAGAGGCTGACTAAAATCCACTGGATGCTCTCTGATATCCCTGATGGCACTAATATTAATGTAATTCCAGGTTGTTGTTGTTGTTGTTGTTAAGTGCCATCGAGTCGGGTCCGACCCATAGCGACCCTGTACAGGGTTTCTGAGGAGTGACTGGTGAGTTTGAATCACTGACCCTGTGGTCCAATGCTTATCCTACAGCACTATGCTATGATGGTCTTATTCTCTGAGCTGACCTGAATTTATCCTACGATTTCAGTCAACCCCCAACCTTTACTGAGACCCTAAATGCCCATCTAGAAAACGGCTCTGTCCTTCTGATGCCCAGCCTGGGATGTGAAGGGGAAGGGAAAGTTTCCTAAAGGAGACTTTAGCCCAAACACTAAGAACCCTGAAAGGCCTACAGGGGCCCACAGTCACCTCCTTCTCGGCCTTGGCCTCTTCCACGGTCACGGTGCTGTGATTCTTGTGCTCCTGGAACATACACAAGTAGCAGATGCAGGTCTGGTCTGTCTGGCAGAAGAGCTCCATGGTCTTGCCATGCAAGGGGCACTTGCGGGCCTCAAAGTCCCGGATGGGCTCCAGCAACTGGTGGTCACGGAAGGCGGCCCCCTCCAGGTGAGGCTTCAGATGCAGCTCGCAAAAGGAGGCCTGACACACCAGACAAGACTTGACAGCCTTCTGTTTGTTGTTGATGCAAGAGTCACACAGCACCTCCTCTGAGCCGGACTTAGATCTCAGGAGGGCGCTGGTGTCGGCCCGCGGGTAGCTGTTCCTCCGCACCTCCCCCGGCTCCACGATGGACACAGTGGGCTTCCGTGGCTCTGAGAATATGGACTTCCGCAGCTCCCCTTTGTCAGCAAAGGTGACCGGCGGCTTCTTGGCAGCCCCCAGCTGGAGGCCTGAGTAGGGGGACCGCTTGCCTTCAGCGGAGTCCATACTGAAGTAGTTGGAGCCCTTGTCATCCACGGAATCAACAAACTGGATGATGGGCCGCCGCCACTCGTTCCCGGAGAACAGGGAGCTCTTCCCCTCCCCTGACTTCAGGGCGCTGCTCAGACCCTTGCCCTCAGCTGCCTCCCCGCCATGCCCATTGGTGGTCTTGGCATCTTTGGCTTCAGGCTTGGCCCCATTCTCCAGGCTACCATTGGTGCCTGCTGGGCTGCGGGCATCCCTGGCTTCTGGGCTCGCCCCGTTGCTCCTAGAGGCATCTGCAGCTTCCATTGCAGGTCACTGGTCTGGGCTGTTTGGGCTTGCTGTGGCTCCAGATGGGTGAGCTGTCCGGTGTGGTGTGCGTCTCCGCATGGAGTGGGGCCGGCAGTTACCGAGCCCAGAGACACACCTATGGGGCAGGGAGGAGCAGGCGCCAGTGGGCGGCGTAGCAGGGGCCAACCTGACACAACGGGCCAGCTGAGCGGCTAATTACACAGGAGCCACGCCCTGCGCATTCATACCTAACCTGGTTTTTAAAGAAGTGTTTTATTCTTCCCCTGTTTAATTATTTTCCACAACTCAGCAACCTGTCGGGCTGCTTCTGACTAATTTGGTCCTCATCAGCAAAGAGGTGGGGGGAGGAGGGCTTTGTCTTCACAGGGGGGCAGGCTTTCTGCTCTAAGGGACCCCTGGGGCAGATGTGAGGTGCCCACAGAGGTCCACCGGACAGAAGGACTATTAATCAGGCCATGCGAGCCAAATCACCTTATAAATTTTGAATCCCTACCTTGGGAGGTAAGGCGCTCTGGTCAGGTAGTGATTATGAGTCGGGCTGCTAATCTCAAGGTCAGCAGTTCAAAACTACAAGTGGTTCCACGGGGAAAGATGAGACTTTCTGCTCCCGTAAAGATTTACAGCCTTGAAAACCCAATACAGGGTTTTCACCAGCCACAGCTCCGTTTGGATTTGGAAGGAAGTGGTTACTGATTATTAAACACTGTTCTCAGCACTTTACATATATAAGCTTATTTGATCCTCACTATAGTCCTTCCAATTATTCCTATTAAATAATTAAGAAAACAGAAGTTCTAAACAGATACTCACCATCCTACATCAAGTGTGGTGGAGATTTGAAGCCATAGCTCTTGAGATCTTGGGCAAGGAGATCATGTAATGACCTAAATATCCCTCTAGAAGATGGCTTTTGCAAGCCATTCCTGTCCCAGTAGTCCTCAAGACGCACACAGATCTTAGGTTATTCTATAAGGGGCAGGTCAGGACCTGCTAGGATCCAAATCAAAATGACAGGGAAACAGTGATGAGGAACATTCACGCAAGAGTCCAAATCTGTCTCCGCAGTAGGTTTTCTGTGTAACTGAAAAAAAGAAAGAAAGCTCAGCTTCTCTGGCCCACAGGTGGTGGTGGTGGTGATGGTGGTGGTGGTGGTGGTGGTTATTGTCAGCTGCCTTAAATCCTTAAATCAGCCCCTGACTCATGGCAACACATGCACAATGGAACAAAACAAAACACTTCCCAGCCCTGCACCATCCCCATGACGAGGTGTGGAAAGGATCTTTGTGATCCAGAAGGCTTCCACTAGTTGGTTTTCAGAAGTAGATCAGCAGGCCTTCTTCCCAGTCCATCTTCATCTGGAAACTCCATTGAAATCTGCAGCACACAGGGCTCCACTGACAGGCAGGTGGTGGCAGTGCTTTGGCCAAGAATTGAGCCAGGGTCTCTTGCTTGGAAGGGGAGAATTCTATCACTGAGACACTCATTTCCTTACTGGACCACAGGTAATGTCCTCCACAAGGAAGCCAAAGAAGTATGAGACTCAGAAAAGCTCAGAAAGGAGCGGCCCACGTAGGACTGCCATGTAAATATAGATCTCAGGCAGAAAAAGAGGACAAGTTGCTCTAAGTCCTTTTTTCTCCAACCCCCAAGAAGAAAGAACACTGGGGACAGTCCTCTCAGTTCCTACCAATCCATGCCATCTGGTTAACCCTATATTGCCATGGTCCCAGGAAGCCCACATCTGCCCCTAACCCATTCCCAAGTAAAACAGCTTTGCTCTGCCAGGCTGGCTTGAACAGGGCAGAGCACAAGGTAGGTGTGGCTGGTGTGGCAGGTTCTTGGCTCTGTGTAGGGGAGTGGGTTTCCCTTCCTTCCCCTCAAATCCAGGCCAAGTTCTGAGAGCCCAGCCCCTTTGGCTCACCAGGCTGAACAGCTAATCCTTTGCAATAACAGCCCTTGGGAACAAGGGCAGAGCCAAGTATGGTTCACAAAGCAGCTAGAAGTTTTAAGAGAAGGTGTGTGGGGGTGGTGTTTGGGTGAGGAGTGCTGGCTTCATGATGCGATTCCCCTCTTACATGACAGCTCTGTTCTCAAGCTCCACAGGAGCCCCCTCTTGTTTGAACTCACTGGGGAGTTGGCTAAGAGCTCATGAGAACTTCCGGGTTACAAAACCTCTTATCAAAAAGCCAGGCCTGAAAGAAGAGGTGGAGAGAGAGAGGTGGGAGGAGGAGGGGAATATTGGCCTGGTCTGCTGGATGAGGAGGACATCCCTAACCGTCCTCCCCAGATAAAACATAGGAGGAAAGAGCAGAGAAGAAAAGAAGGAACTAAAGAAGGGTTTTGGTAATAGATCCAATATTATTTCACCTGAACCTGAGATATTGCACTGGAAGGCCTCTGCTGGTCCTTAGAGAATATGTGGTTAACTTCCAGGAATTTGGGGAAAGATTCTGAGCCTTAGAAATAGGCTGACACTAAGGTATTCAGACAACATTTGTGGATGGATGGATGGAAGAAAAGGTAGGTGAACTTAAGAGTGGTAAATGGATAAATGGATGGATAAGAGATGTGAAATGGATAATGGCTGATAGATGAATATGTAGCTAGTTGAAAATTGCATTAAAATGAAGGTAGGGAGAGAGGGAGAGATTGAGGGACAAAGCTTAAGTGAAAGAGAGGGAAGAGGAAAAAAGGAGAATGGATAGGTAGTAGAGGAATAGGTGAATTGCACTGGTACACTGACAAAAGTTTAAAAACTGGCTCTTTGAAGGAGAAAAAAGACTGGCTTGTAATACATGCCAGTTTCCATGGTGTAAATACTCCAGGCAATCAAGCTACCAATGTGAAGCATGCTGGGAAGAGAGGTATACAGTGAGCTTTCCCAAGGCAATGGGAGTTAGCACCAGCACATCTCTGGAAGGATGGTGAATGGTTGAGGCCGATGCAGAGATAATAGGAAGTTGGGTACAAATGGATGCTAGAGAATACTACTGTCAATCATCCTGAGGAGAGAGAGTAACAGGCTCAAATGATTTCAAAGTAAATGGGAAGACAAAACTAATTTATGTATTCCACTAGACTTCTCTCGGCTCCAAGTCCAAGGGGGCAGCTCCCTCCTCTGAATCCCTGTACTGAATCCACTGCCTATGTTATTCAGAAGGTATTTAGCTCAGACCACCTGGTGTTAATTGTTCATTCATTCACATATGTTTACTGAGCATCCTATTATGTACTAGGCCTTAAATCAGGCAAGTTTTACATTGGGGAGCTTACAATCCAGTGGGAAAATAGACCAGTAAGTAAATGATGTAAATTTGTTGTAAACCACGCACATGGTATCTGTGAGGAGCTGGGGCGGCCCAGAGAAGGGAGCACACAGGACCTCTGAGAGAGGCCTTTCTCTCCAATCAGGCTGGGAGCTGCTCACTTCCTGTGCACACAGAAGAAGAGGTTTGTATTTGATTCAACAGATATTTATTCAGTTGAATTTTCAACCAGTGATATTGCCTGGCCTTTTGGACCTCTTGTACCAGGCCCATGACTCCTTTTTCCCTTGAGGGACACCCAGTCTCCAAGGAGTGGAAAGGCCTTCTCTGGAAAACAAACCAAAGAAACAGTTCTCCTTCCAGGGCTGGCCCAGTATTCACGCACCACCCTCATTCCCCCCCAAGTCTTCCAGGAGCTAAGCTATAGCTGTTGTTGCGAAGTGCAGTCAAATCAGTTCGGATTCATAGCAACCCTGTATAGGGTTCCCAAGGAGTGGTTGATGGGTTTGAACTGCCAACCTTGTTGTTACCAATCCAGTGCTTATCCTACAGTGCCACACTAGGAGGTGAGAGCTTTTATCTGTCGAGTTCTGAAGTAAGGGTGGACACTGAGAACCCCCTGAGAAAAGGTCACATTCCCAGAGTTCCCCCATGCCCCTCACTCCAGCTGGGCCACTTGTAGTGTCTAGCCCCATGTCCTGGGGTCTTGCCCTCTCCACTCCCAAATGCAGCTGCAAAGGTTCCACAGGAAGGCATTTCCTGACAGCCTATGTCTCACATACAAGCTCACCAGAAGTCTCCAAAGTTCATCACTGTGGCCAACGGAGGGTCTCAAAGCAGAGGAATGCTTTATTTTCAAAAGCCTGCAAAGAAAGGGGTCCCACGAATGCCCCCAGTCATTCATGTCCATCTTATCCTGTTGTTATCCCCCTGTCTAACTTTAAGCCTTCCTGTTGCAACATTTCCCCCTAGACCAAGTGACAGTGGAATTTGACTGGCTGCTAACCTCTACCCCATCTCTCACAGGGTTCAGGAGGTCAGAAAGTTAGCAGGTGTGCCTTCCAGAGAAGGATCTTTATGAATATGGAGCAAGGAGAATCCATCTCTTCCTCTTTGGTTCTCTGAGACCAGCCATGACCTGCCAGCCAACCCACCAGCCAACCCCAAGCCTCCTCCCAGACTTCTTTCATGAGGCATCTCAAAGCCCTTCCCCTCCTGGTAGCTTCCCTTGATTCAGCAGGTGGGGCAGCCTCACCCACTCACTGCTGTGACCTGATGACACCTTATTCCACCACCAATCATTTTCAGATGAAAGAAAAAACCCCTTAAAAGGATAAAACTTCTCCCGCTTCCTTGGAATCCCAGGCCTAGAAAGGAGAGGTCAGCTGGTCCATTCTCCTGCCTCTGGGTGAGACTATATCTAGAAACTTCCTTTAAAAGCCCTCTAAGTCCTGGTGTGGCATTGTAAGGTAAAGCATTGGACCACATGGTCAAGTTGAACTTCAATCTCGACAGTTCAAATCCACCAGCCACTCCTCAGAAACCCTATACAGGGTTACTATGTGCTGGACTCGACAACACTTAACAAGAACAATAAGTAAAGAGATGTCACAGCCTCCTTCAGCCATTCATTTCAAGTTCTAGAATAACTCACTGAGGAAGTCCTTTGACTTTCACTTAAATACTCTTTAAAGGAAAGACTGGTGGGGAGGAACTAAGCTTCTGGCCCTGCAAAGTACAAAGTAAGAGACAATCATATGATGGGAAGGCCCTGGTTCAATTTTAAGTTCAATCTTTGGACTTCTTGGTACTTTTGTCTTTCTTATGAGCCTGTAGATATAGACAAAGTCCTGATGT